ATACAAAAAAAGCAAACTTGTTTCATTTCACAGTACAATTTTTCATCCTTAACGCCTGCGATGTGCCCTCTTAATTGTTAGGTGTTAATCTACATAATTAAATATACGAAAAAAAAAATTTCGCGCGAAAAAAGTAATTTTAATATATTTACAAATTAATAAAAATCGCAATAAAGTTTAGCACTTCCCAGAACTCAGAATAAAAAATTAAAAAAACTTAAAAAAATAGAAATCAATTAAAACAAAATGACTGTTTAACACATAGCATATAACGTGTTTGACATTTATTATGCCGAAGACAAATATTTCACAGAATCTATTTGAATTTTTTGCACAAATCTGCGCAATAACTCATCAAAAAGAAAAAAGTTTAATTAGCATAAGTTTCTACGCACTTTTCGAGGGTGCAAAGATGCACAGTTTCGCTTAGTGAATATTTATTACATACATACATACCTACATATGCGCACGAGCATAACCAGTCAACAAGCAGCCTTATATGTATGTATGTATGCGAATTCCATGCCCCTGCATTTGTTTAATAACATTTCAACACCAGTACATTCAATTTGAAAAATTATCACAAAAAAAATTTCCGAAGCAATATAAAAGTAATATTCCTTTTTCGAAATACTTAGTACTTAATTATAACAACATTTATATAATAGACTAAACATTATTTTCAAATTTACAAAATATTTATAACAAATAAGTTTTTAGGCATAAAAAATTCCTATAAGAAAAAACTATCTAAATAAAAAAAAATATACATACATAATCTAAAGCTTTTCAGATATAAATCCCTTTACTTCTAAAATAAAAACTACACTATGCAAGTATTATATGTAAGAAGTCATATGTACTAATTTTTATTATTTTTAAGCCTTTGAATGTGCATTTTCACAATTTTTTCGTCAATGAAAAAGTTTAAAAAAAATAAAAAAAAAAATCAAAATATATAATTATGTTTCGTCAAGTTTATTAAATATTTTTAAGTGTTACGGAAATATAAATGAAGTTGTTTGAATACACTGGTCAGGAAGCGGCAAAAACCACCATTTTCGCGACTATATTGACTATATTTTTTAGGAGAGCGAAACTATACATATAATAAAATTTTAGCAGGCCAATATCTATGCATTATAGATATTAAAGAAAAATTAATATGGTTGGTCTTTATTAGAGCAACAGAAGTCAAATCAACAATTTTTAAAATTTTTGTCTCTCTGTCAGTTTACCTGGCTGTATGTTTGTAAAATTAGAGAGTTGCCACCTGTTTGAAAATTGCAGTTTAAGTGATTTGACAAGATAAAGTAAATATTGCAATATGACTGTCAAAATAGAGAGGTATAGCACTAGTACAACTGGGTACATAAAAAAAAACCGATAGGCGTCATTTGACCCTATTGGCAATTTTTAATTTTTTTCTGAAATAAAATAAGGAAATTAAAATTAAAATTTAAGTTTTATATAATTTTTCAAATTAATTAACAATTTTTAATTCAATATTACAAGTATTTTGTTATTAAAACTAATTTTAAAGTAGTTGGGTGAAATTACCTCTTCAAGCTATGCCGATGTTCAGTTCAGTACTTCTAGTGTTAATGTGTACTTTTTGATAAAATTGCGCGATATTTTATTACACATTTTCGCCTGCAGCGCTTTTTTTTATAAAAATCAATATTTCGGCGCTTTTTATAGAAATTAATACTTCGATAAATAATTAAAAATTGTATATAAAAAATTGCGCGATTATTTTTTTTTTTTAATTTTAGCTTGTGGTGCTTTTTTTAAATAAAAATCGATTATTCGATAAATAATTAAAATTAAAAAAAAACATTGCGCGATGTTTTCATATTTTCGTCAACGTCGCTTTTTTACGTAAAACAATATAAAAAGAAAATTTTCAATAAAAAAACCCCGATTTTTTTTATTATATTCATCATCTGGCAGCACCAATATGTGTTCATTTGCAACACTTTCATGTAATCAATGAAATTTGTAAGGTGAATTGTGCAAGTTTAACAGTTAATAACCTTTTAATAAGAAGCCTCCGCGGTCTGGGGTATTTTGGAATCTAAAAATGCTCCTCTTCTTCTTCTATCGTTTATTAATTTTTACACAAACATTATAAATCGAAATAATGTATTTAGTTGCGAAAGATTTTTAAAAAAAGAGGCGATCGAAAACCATCTTTTGGAAACTTCGCTTAACTCGGGGGCACAAACGCTGATTACTGGGCCTTGAAAAGGAGGAATCGATGCTTCTGGAAACAAAAAAAATAAAAATACCAAGAAAGAAAGGTGCTAAAATGTTTATATTTTCTATTTAATTTTTATATCCGAGAACACTTGTGCACAAGGGTATTATAACTTTGTTCACATAACGGTTGTTTGTAACAGGCAAAACGAATTGAGATAGATATAGAGAAATGTATACATAAATGATCAGAATGAAAAGAGAAATCGATTAAGCGGTGATTGTCTGTCCGTCCGTCCGTCTGTGCACACGATAACTCGAGTAAAAAATAAAATATTTTAACGGAACTTAGTACCTGTGCTTCTTTCGGGTGTAGGACGGAGGGTATTGAAAATGGGCAAAATCGGACAATAACCACTGCTACCTCCCATATATCGGTAGTTTTCAGAAATATGAAAACTACATATTTTAGTAACTTCTGAAGCTTATTCTCTCAAAATTTATATTAAAATTATTTGTAGACGAAAACTAGGAATATTGTAAATTTGTGTGAAATGGGCATGGCACCGCACACTTATGATTACATATATGTATCTCGGTAACCGTTCCATCAATTTGTACAAAACTCGGTATGATTATGGTGATTGCTACGTAAAAGCAAAGCGCTGAAAATTATTGAAACCGGAGTAAAATTACGGTCACTGTTCATATAACGGTAAATTTCAGAAATTCTTCAAACTTCTATATTTCGAAATTCAAGGACGCTAATTTACTAAAAATTGATACTACCAACAATCACTTGAAAATAAGTAGCATTATTTTGAATTTTGGAAAATGGGCATGATATCGCCCACATATGACTATATAAGTTTATCTTATTATGTCTAACTGAACGTTCTATCGAAGATGTTTGAAATAGGGGTAATACCACCCCGGCTTACCATGTAGCGGTAGTTTTCGGAAAGTTGAAAACATATATTTAATACTTGCGCTGGGACCGAGGACCCGAAATTAGACTTTCTTACTTGTTTTATATTTAACATAGCACACCATGACTAAAAAAAAAACGCAGAATACATTTTTAATACTTCAGAGAACAGAAGCAACCACAAAATATACGTAAATTTAGTTTTTGCTCTAATGTTACTACCGGTTTAATATGCCTTGCCTAAAATCATAGACACTTTTTTGTTTATGTATCTAAAACAAGAGCAAAGTATAATCGCGTTCAAAACATATACATATGTATCTTACAAAAGATAGTGCCATAATAAACTTAACAAACGGTTAGCAATAAATATGAGTATCTATCTAATACTAAACAAATATGTAAGTAGTTTAACAGCTGTTTTGCTTCCTATTTGGAGCCTTCCAGTTGCACCAGTTTCTAGCAATCAAAGCTGTAAGTGTAACCTTGCTAGCGGCCCGCTAAAGTCTCCGTATCCATAGCCTATCTGTCGAATAAGTGCTCGTATTGCAACTTCCAGCGATAAGTGTTAACCAAATTCACAAAAAGTTGTTAGGCATCCAAACAAAGCCACGGACAGTAAAACCCGGCAGCGCAAACAGCGAGGGCGTGTAACGGCAAGTGCTACAGATAAGTTGAATCTATGACGCGCCACACGCATTTTGCACAAGCAACAAACACACATGCACATAAACACAGGTATGTATGTAAGATTATGTAAGAGTATGTACATTAGGGTGGTAAAAAAAAAAAATTAATTCGAAATGTTAATGCTCTCACCTCTAAAACTGTTTTATGCCGAAAAAATACACCACTGTTTTTCTTTAAATTTGAAAAAAAAAATTTTTAGAAGTCGCCTAAGGCGTCAAAGCTTTTTATGTAATTTATGGGAAAAAGACAATATTTGTAGAAATGGTATTTCGTTAAGAAAAGTCTGTTTGTATTCAGGAGACTTCCAGTAACAATAATCAATTGTTTATTAAACCATTTTTTTAAATATCTAAGAGTTTTTATAGGTTCCTCAAAGCCCCAAAAAATACACAGGGGAACCCGTAATAATGATTTCCATTAGTATTAAAAAAGTTTGAAATAAACAATTGGGAAACAGAGTTCTGCGACCGAAAGTATTCATTTTCGAGAATTCTATACAATTTGTACGAATTTTTTTTATTGTTTTCAAATAAAATACATGAAAGTGGCCTCTAAATATTATTTGAATTGAAAATAAAATAGCAGTGGTATATGTTTTTCGATATAGAACAATCCTAGGGGGTGTGAGAGCATTAAGATTCCGACTTTAATTTATTTTTATTTTTTTTACCACCCTAATGTACATACATATAGATTTGCATGTTCAAGTGCCAGATTTGATTAGCCTCGTCGCACACCCGGTTTGTGCACCGTCGCACGCAGCGGATCGAGCAGCGGTGGGCTTAATGAAAAACGCTTCAGTTTGCGTTTGAGTGTCGTGCAGTGCCTGTTGGAATTTATCCAGCAACGGATTGGTTCATAGCAGGTTGCGAATTGTTGGGCACATGTGTATAAAAAATACATATATTTATTTTTCTACTTTCCCTTTAATGATATCACATAAGCATTATTTTGCACGATTTTTAGTATCACGCAGTGAAGGGTACAGCTCATCTGCTAACAAATTGCCATATCAAGTCAATTAGACAATTACATGATTGTGAATAATAAATAAATTGCTTTGCCGCAACAATAAACAAACAAAAAAACTCTGTTGAGAAAGCAAACAAAAAAGAATTAGAAGTGTGTTGTAGAAGCATTTCTATAATTTGAAAAAAAAAACAGCATTTTGTGCAACAACGTCAATGCTGTTGTTGATGCCACGATAAGCAAAAAATTTACAACAACAAAAATCAAAAAAAAACACACACACCCAATTATGCCAACTACTTGCCGTTTTAAATTTTCGCGCACTACCCCAATCTACTACAGTGGCGAACAAATAACAGGCAGTGTAATTTTGAGTACCACAAAACAGCTGCCAGTTGAAGGTGAGTGATTAATCTGCGAACATGTATGTATATGAAAAACGTATGTATATAGTTTTCATTGAGCGGAACGGTAATCTCCATGAAAAACAGCTGCTTAAATTAAGTTATATGTAGAGCAATGTGCGTAAAAGACTTCGCAAAATTTCGAATTCTACAGACTGTGTTCATACTTGCTTACAAATTTATTTTCATATATACAAAAATATGTGCATCTTATTTATATTGTTAACAAACAATTGATTTAATGAACTTGGAAATATTTTTGTTTTACCTTGAAATATAGTTAAATAACTTTGTAAGCTAATTGTCACAACAACCATTGTAAGTAGCATAATGCAAAATCTGTGCATTAAGGTTTTCTACAAAAAAAAAAATAAACAAAAAATGATAGCTAAGCAGGGTTTGGCGATGGTGACAAAGGAGGCCAATAAGTACGCCTCAGGGAGGTGCTTTGCCTCCTTTGATTAGTGCACTTATAATCGAAAAGATCATACGCAGAGCTCATTCCTATCTAGTTGTCCAAACTCGATGAGTAAAGTACCCGAATGCACATACTTATTTAGTTTCTAATATTTTCAAAATTAGGCAAGAGATGTAGGGCTTGAAGTAAATTGAGAGAAGGAGGACTTAGAAAGTTCAAGATATCGCCCGGGTCTCCAATTAAGCTAATTTTTAAGACGCTTACCAAATATTTTTCACGAAGGGGGCTGCCACTTGTTTAAAAGTGCAAAATAAATTCAATTAAAAAATTTAATAACTTAAATATTTTCTATGGATATCAAACGAGAGACGTTCAAGTGTGTTTTATTTCTAAAATATTTTTGGAAATTAAATATTTTATATGGAAAATGAAACGAGATAGGTTACCGGTTTTAAAATTCAGAATCAATTGAATTAACAAACTAAATTAAGTATAACAATTTGGCTGTAAAACGAGCGAGGTTTAAATAAACGTTTCTCCAACAAATGGCCATTAGCTAAAAAATTCAAAATTAATTTAATAAAGCTTAGTTAAATATTTTACAATACAAATTGAAAATCAGTTTTATCAAACCGTGAAACAAAATATTTTACATGGAAAATGAAACAAGGGGTTGCAGAAAACTTCATTAAAAAAAATATTTTATAAAAGAGTGTTTAAAAATTCAAAATCAATTTAATTAACAAATTTGTTAAATGTGAGGGGTTTAAATAAACTTTTATTCTAGATTTTTTTTAGGAGGGCTGTCACTTTTTTGGTAATTGAAATTGAGTTCACTTAAACCAGTTCTATTAAATACTTTGCTATGGATATGAGACTAGAGGGGTTAATGTAAGATTTTTTTTTGTAATATTTCTGAAAAGAATTGCCACCAATTCAATCAATTCAAATAAATTTCATTGATAAGTTAAATAAAATATTTCAATATTGCTTGCAAACGAGAACAACTAATTTATCTATAAAAAATGTTTAAGTGGTTGCCACCAGTTTCAGTTCAATTTAGTGAGAGGTTACATGAAGCAAAATAAGGCGAAAGTCTAACAAAATTAGTTAAACAAAATTTTTAACCAAAACATTTTTGTAGGTGGTTGCTAACTGTAGTTTAAAAGCATTTTGTAAGTGAGCTACAACATCTCCAAAATTTATTTAAATAATTTTTTCGGTTTATATTACATAAAAAAATAAGGCATGGACATGAAACTAAAATGATATTTTTACGTATAAAGACTAAGTATCTACGAAAAATAAGTTAATAATTAAAGATACTACAACCTCTGAATTTTTTAAAATTTCGCGCCAATATTTGCCATGTTCTGAGACATATTTTGTACTCCAGAACTCCCGCTCCACTGGTTCGATTAAGATAACCATCTGAGTGAGTGCATTAAAATGATCGACAGAATTCTAAAGCATTTTGTACAACCGATTGGGATGCAGCTGTAAGATTTGACAGCTTAATGTTAAACCTTATACATATAACGTGGGCGGGCCGTGGGTAAAACCTAGCCATCCGGAAGAAAGTAGACTTGATAAAGCATGCATGAACTTGCTGGGGCATAGTCATCGCTGCGATTACGTGAATATAATCACACGCTTAAAATGAAGGTGGGTGAAATTTTTCACCCCACCCCAAAGGCTGCAACTGCTCCCGTAGGCTTGCTTTATTTTTATTATCTTTATATTTTTACAGCGTTTATTCAAGTAGCAAGCAGTGCATTTGTATAGCTGTAATACATATAGCTACTAAAATAATTTCATTAGCTAATTAGCAATTAACATGGTTCACAGATTATAAACGCTTGCATGTCTAAATATTTATCACTCAGTTAAAAAAAATAAGTGTAACAAAAAGGCATCAAAGCATACTAATATAATTTATTGCAGACTTGCTGTGATTAGATAAACGATAACACCGTACTTATCTTTATACTAAATACAAATTTGCAAATCATAAAATTCAAAAGCCCAAAGACCGCGAAATTCATTAAAACGATAAAAAGTAACAAATGCAAAATTAATGCAAATATACTTAAAAGTGTGATTTTTTTACGACTTTAACAAGGTGCGATAAAATGTCAAAAGACTGTTTAACTTTTCTATTAGTATGTCTGTTTTATTTATACTTCTAAATTTTTTTTTCACATTTACTATTTATGCACTCCAAATAGCAATTCACCTCTCTTTGGTTGGATGTGAACGCGTGCAGTGGCTGGCGAGGAGTAGAAGCGCATTGATTCTACATAACGATAGCGTTGAGAAGGAGGACAACAAAGAGCTCTACCATGGCAAGCAGGAGCATTTATGTGAGTCATACACGCTTGCCAAGGCAGTGCGCTTGTTGCCGGGTGAGGTGCGTTTAGAGGAATTTTGTTTCATGCTGCCACACGATGTGCCAGCTAGCTGTGAAATGATCTATGGGGAGGTGGTTTACTGTGTGCGGTTGGTGTTGCAGCGCAAGTCGGTGTGCAATAAGGTGTTCAAAGCGCGCATAACGGTCAAAAACCGATTGGATTTAAGCAATGCCACAGATTTGATTGAGGTACGTAAATAATGTCAGCTCTAACTTATATGATTATTGATGCTAAAACCTTTAATTTCCAATCTTTAATTGTAAATCCCAACAGCCTCATGAACTCACCATACCCTGTGTGCACACAACTAGTGCTGAGGCTGCACCACTCAACTTCGCTCTGTCCACGGGCACTGGCTATGTGCCCGGCCAAAGTATTTTCTACGCACTGCATGGTCGACACAAATTTGCGGCATGCAACAGATTACGTGTGAACTTATGTCAATTAAGCACTTTTCGTGCAAGCAAACCGCAGACGAAAACGAAAGAGTTGCTGAAGGTGCTAAAAAGTAATACCCACAAAATAGGTTCCTCATACGTCACGGTGTGCGGTCAGCTAAGCATACCGCTAGTGGCGCACATTACACTGAAGAGTAATGAAAATAATATCATACAAATCAGTCATTTTGTTGAAGCTATGCTGATAAATAAGAAGCGCATCTTACAAAAGTTAATCATACCGATTTTGATTGGTACAGTACCTCCAAAGAGGAAAGAGCGAACGCCAGAGGAGAAGTCTTTCGAGATACTGGAACATTTTTATTGTTACGATAATTTGGGTGAGTGAGAAAATAGAACTTATATTGTATATATAGCGGGCCCTGTATGTTTACCGGTTCAAAGTTGCCCTTAAATACTAAATAATAATTTGGGTCAAAATGACCCAGAAACACTGTGGACGTGTGAAAAAACTATACTGCCTTCTAGAAAACAAAATAAAATAAAAAAACTTTTTATGTTTTTCAAAACCACAGCTTATTAAAAATTACCTAGCTCAGTAACTAAAGAAGTTTTTCATTAAACCGGGGTAATTTTGAACCAATCATTGCAGAAGGGTTAATTTTTTTTCGATGCAGAAATACATCTAGATTCTCTAGCCACATTTCTGTATCAAAAAGCAAAATTTTGAAAAATTGTCACTTACATCTTTTTGGCGGTTAGCTGTTGATATATACATACATGTATACTTTAGTATATACAATTAAATATATACATATGTACATATATACAAAAATATGTACTTACGTAGTAGATAAACAAAAATGTGGTTATTCATAAAAATCTACAAAATATTTTTTTTCTAATAAAAATATTTATTTTCAAATTCTCTCATTCTTTACAGCGACTGACGAAATTTGCGACACGAGTATACCTCCTGAAAATAAAAATAACTCCCTTACATCTGCTAACCATACATTTCTACAAAAGCTGCCCTGTGAACTACTTTTAGACTCTTATGACGCATCGGCTAATATGTTGCAGCAACATGTTGCTACAAGTAACAGGCAGTTGCTACGGCATAAAGTAGACAACGTTAATCTCCTACAACTAGCAATATATTAAATAGTAATAAAAATGTGTGTGCGTGTGAATTAGGGAGGTCCTTGAAAGTATGAAAATCTAAAATTCTAATTTTAAATTTCTGGGGATGTCTTTATTTTATATACATTAGAATGACTCCAAAAAAATTTAGGTTTTTCCACCGGACTTATATAATTGATTACATTTTAAGAATTCTGAAAAAAAATCGAAAAAACATTAAGACTTATGTACGTGAGCTAAACGGATTATTTTGATACCGTTGATACAAATTTTAAACCTTTTTATGCTGACTTTCAGTCTTAGCCAATTTCATCATATGAGGTGATTTTTTGGAAAGAATATTTTTAAAAATTGATTTTGTTTATACCCAATTTTTCAAATGTTTCTTCGAAATATTTTGGCGGAAGCTTTAAAGTAAATTTTATAATCCGATGGAAAAGCAGTATCGAGTTTTTTCTGCCGTTTTTCATAATAAAAAATAATGCACTTCCTCTAAAATTGCTTTCTTGAAACTGGCTATTAGTATTATATTCTTGTACATACATAAATAATACATGTTGGTAAATTTTGTAGCACTATCTTAAAAATTATATACACACGATTTTTAAATAAATAATATAAATTTTGTATACATTCAGTAAAAGGTAGAAAACTATTTAAAGCAGATATTACACTTCAAATCAATAGTAAAATTATTTACGCAATTTCTGGAATCTTTGACAAAACAAGTTAAAATTTGAGCACAAATATATTTTAATTTGAGTACCAATGTATTTTAAGTCGCTTTCGTCATAGGAGATGATCCGATACGGGTTTCAAATTAAGAAAACCTGGCAAGTTATTTTGCATTGAAGTACTATTTTTTTAATGCTATGATATGCTAGGATCTAGATGGTTTTGAAACTACCGCAAACTTGAAAGCACGCTGAAGCAACTTTTCCGGCGCTTAAGCAAATTATGAACAACCTACGGAGACCAAAAACCATACCTTATATGTATAGACTATTTGTCGTATGAAATGTAAATATCCTGTTTGCGATTCACATTCAAGTAAGATGTTTTACACATCTAAACTATTCAGCGCCCACGTGATTGCCGGCAACTAACAGGGCGCAGTGAACGAAGCTAATATACATTATCAAACACGCAGTCCGGGCTGCTACCGTATGCCTTCTGATTTCGTCACAGCACTGCCTACATGACGAGGCTAGAATGGTCCCCATCAGAGAGTACCACACTTTGTTTTGTAGGCAGTTTTTAGTAGGGTTCCATAGGCGTGGGCACCTAAACAGACACCTCCTTGCCGCATAGCCCTCGCCTAGGCACATCAGAGGGCATCTATATAAACTAACGGATTAAGACTAGAGGTTTAGAAAACAACCTCTAAGCCCAACAACGTACCGACATATCCTAAACCGCATTCACAGGAAATCGTTCTCAACTAACACCACCTCAACTGCCGATATGTGAATGCCATTTTGGGAACACAGCCACCTAACGTAGACTTCAGAGCTTCATCTGGCTACTGGACCAGGCTAAACTTCAACCTGAGAAGGATAAATGCAAATGTGCTGGCATGCAGAGAGTTAGCTCACGTCTAGCAACTTCTTCGCATGCCCAACACAACTAACACCCCTCTCCCTATGGACCAACCCAGTTGGAGTGGCATACTTGTTGACTTTGCCGTTAGTTGAGCCCGACGACAACGATTAAGGGACAAACCGATCTATGCAGGAGTAACTAGCCGCTGCAATAACAACAAAAACACATGTATTACTGAGGAAACACCAAGTGGCGCCATGAACATGTCAAATTTCAGCTATTCTTCGCTCAAGGAAGAAAAAGGAAAGCAAAAATTGTATCACTCTCACTTTCTCGCTCACTCATACGAAATTGTGGCACATTTGTACCGAGGCGAATCAAATCAGCTAATCTAGCAACACCGCCTTATCTATATAAATTCGCCTACTACAAATAAAAATATTTAAAAAAAATCATTCAAAATCAAAAGTTTGTGTTTAAATTTTTTTATGCGGATGTCTGCCGCATGATATTAGGGGCTCACGGTTTATTTAAAAACCTAAAAATGCTTAGTACATATATGCCATTAATGGCATAAAGGGAAATGCATACAATTTTGAAATTTTTTGATAATTTTTTGTTTCTAAACATTTTTGAAAAAATAGATAAAATTTTTGAGCATTGGGATGTCAAACGAAAGCTTTTGGCTCTTACTGATTTGTTGAAACAGAAAACTTTGTGATGCGACTTTGCGCGCTGAACCTGGTTTTCAAACGAGTTAAACGAATTAACTCGTTAAATTTTGCAACAACAATTGCATGAAATTAACACGCTGTATTCATTTAACTAGTTCAAGCGCATTTAACTTGTTAAGCTCGTCAATCCGTACGCACCATTAGGAAGGGAAGTCGAAAAATATATCGATGCATATCGATGTATCGTATATATAAATCGATACTTTCTATGCATCGACTGAATTAAAAATATATAAGAAAAGCGAGCAATCGGAAATGTGAAGGGTATTCATTTATTTAAATAGTTACACATCCCAGTTATATAAATACATATATACCTAAAACTCAAAAAAACTGTATCTAATGCTAGCTTCATTATTCCAAAGTTACTGCAACAAAAACTGAGATTTCACTACATTATAAAAACTGACCAAATGTAGCTATCGATTTTAAATGTCTTACTAAGTAATGCAGTCAGTTCACTCCATAGTATCAATAAACGCCAAAGCAGTAGATGAATCCTTAATACTAGGAGCGTTGAAGATTATTATAGAACTGCATTCTATATTCCACACATCGATGTGAACATAAGTAATCTTCAGTGTGGTTTTATAAAAAAATTTTGATTTTTCATTCGTTGTTTCTTACCCCAAAAATGAGTGCAACTTCGGTAAATGCAAGTAACTTTATGAATATAAGTATTCTGAACTATTCCGAAAATATATATGTAAGTTTGCATCGGAGGTCAAAATGTGGAGCAGACGAGCGGATGTTCCGAATTTCAAAATTGTGTTTGATATGTTTAACCTGAAAATCTACCAACACCTCGCAGGCGTAGATTAGGCTTTTAGAGTTAAACAGTTAAATATTATAGATATTAACTTGCCTAATTTGGTGAATACGCCTATTGTGTTACAGTTTCAATGATTTAGCAAATAAGAGCACAATAAATATAATTAGCGCTTTTAAATCCACTACGAATATTTACAACCGCTACCGCCTCAAGTTTAATAAGCACAAAGCAAATTAGTAGAAAAATAAGCGAAATAAGTGAAAAATCATTAACAAGCAGCAGTTAACTAAAATTCGGGATGAGCAACAAATAGCAGAAAAATATGATAGTGGAGCATTCAAAATACGAGTATGTACATATATACATACAGACATACCATACATAGGTACCGACCGTTTGCTGGAAGAATGTCATAATCCCACAAAAAAATATTTTTGATTGAAGAATGCAGTATTCATTTCCAGCCCTTCTTTTTCGTAAATAAGGATTTCAGTTGTACCTCATTAAAGCCAAGTGTACTTACCTTGAAAGTTTACAAATGTTCACTTTGTTCATCAATTATAACAATAACACTAACACTGTTCGTTCAAGGTAAATACAGATTTATTCTAGGGATGAAGTTTTAACACTATATTTGTTGTAAACCTTTAGTTAATAAATATTTTTGTTCAATATAACTAAAAAGTTTGAAACCTTTATTTAGCATTTCTAGTTTTTTTAGTTAAGAAGTTTTCCCAGCAAGTGAGCGATATGTTTCTATGTAAATGCGTTCAAATGAAATTGCACCCACTATTCGAGCTTCTCAGGTTGCACAGTTTCTCGACCCGTGACATCATGTAGCGCCTAAAACTAGGCCATAACTAAAAGAAATAAACGTGTTATGGCGCCGCAAATCAAAATCTTAATGGCAAAACGTGTTAATAAGCTTCAGCATTAGGGTTGACCATTTGGTATAAATATATTTAACACTTATTTTAACATACAGAAACGATATTCGTAGATGAATGATAGATTAGATTTTAAGGAAGAGCGCAGCCCACATCTAGTTACCGCGATCGAGAAGCGATCCATGTATTGTAATAATCCTACATTTGGCTACAAGACTTCTTTGAGCCGCGACTTTGCTACTTTCCATTCAAGTACGTTAATTAATGTTTCTTTGCTAGGAATTCCAGATCAAATAAGACTACCTGATAGCCAGACATCGCAGAATTTGGCTAAGTGGGCTTACATATGTATGATCAGAACTGGGTGACAACGGGAGCTGGTAAGCATTCAAAACTTACGTAGTCCTCAATTTCTGTTGTGAATCTAGGCAAGCCTTGACGGATATTCTCGCGTTTTAAATACTTGAATTTGTTGAATAAAATAATCCAGTATATTTGTAAGTCGGGTAGATTTAAAAGAGATTAGTTAATACACCGTTTTCCAGACTAGAATCGGTGTACTAATTTCAATAGCTGCAATAAACTGCGGCAAGAAACTACACCAAAAATGTTTTCATAATGAATATTTCTTTCCTACCCTATTGTTTGAATGCAGGAACTATGCAAATAACAGTTAAACACACATAAAGTGGAATTTAAAACAACGCCAATTGTGTAAACTGTAATTATAGTTACGACCACCACGACACGTCATTACATAGCAGTCGCTACAACCATTCTCAAGCCATTATGAATGGCGGCCAGCAGGAATGGCATTGAACGCATTAAAATCGCCAGACTACATGCGTCTACGTTCTAAAACTCTGTCGCCCGACTATTTACTATTTGTTGGTGGTTTCTTGCACTACGCACAGCACAAAACAAAAGACGGTTGCCTTGGTAGCATGCAGCAGGAGCAGCAGGAGCAGCAACAACAAAATTGCATAAAAGAACTGAGCTTAGCTATGAAATTTTATAAATTATCCTTGTATGTATGTGTGTATGTGTGTAGAAGAATTGATGCTGGGCAGCTCTTAAAAAGCTGTTATTTCA